TATTTTATAATTATAAAGATCATTTGAAAGAATATAACAAATAATTCTATCAATATTAGCACCATTGTCTCCATCTTTATATTTGTCACCATAAGAGTATCAAAATTTATAACCTTTTGAAACATCTACAATCTTATTATCTTTGATAAATAATACATGAATATTTCTAGTTTGCCATTTTTCAAATACAATTCTTACACCATCGATTTTGTTTCTGAAAATATGATGACCTTCTTTAGCAGATTTTTTTAAAGAGATAGTTCCAGATTTTGACATATTTGTTTCTACACAATATATTTTTTTATTACAATAATAATTATTTTTTTTGGTTTTTATTTTCATTTTGTTTTAAAGTAAAGTTATTTATACTTACTCTTGTTTTTATATTTTTTTTAATAATATGTATTTTAAATTAATTACTTTTCAAGAAAAAGATTCAATCGAAAAGAAAATTCTGAATTACTCATTTTTTATTTATTTTAAATATTATGTTATCGTGACACTGTTTTTATATTTTTTTAATAAAATTAAATTTAACCAATAAAAGTATTAATTAAAAACTTTAAAAAATCTATAAAAATAATTAGTTCTTTACAAAAAAATATTTCTAAATTTATTAAAATTAAAACATGAATATTAAAAGATTATTTTCTATTTGTCTTTTATTTAAAAACAAATATTTTTGTTTGAAAAATCTTAAAACATTCTAATTCTTATTGAAATTTTAAATTTAAAATTTTTTTTTATTTGGAAATATTAATTTTTGATAAGAAAACTTTATTTATAGAAGAATTTATGAACAAAAAAAATTTAATTTCAAGTTACAACTGATAAATTTATTAAAAACTTTAAAACAAAATTTTAAAATGTCTTTTAAAAAAATTATTAACAAATTTAACAAAAAAACTGAAGCTCTTAATATTGTTTAACAAGAATATATTAAACATAAATATAATGAAAATGAAAGCCAATATGATATTTTTGAAGATCAACAAAAATTCGAAAATAGTTGGAGTGATTGTGAACAAGATCCAGTTTCTCCTAATTGGATAAATGAAGAACCAGAGAATGAAAATTGATCCACCTATTCAGTAAACAATGAAGAAAATGAAGAAAATACATTTTCAATACAATTCACTGAAGAGGAGAATCGATCTACTAATTATTCTCAAGATACATTTGTAAATCCAAATGTATTTATTAATTTTGAAATCATATTGCTAATCTTATTAATTAGCTTATCTCATTTTTCAATAATCTTTGTCTGGATTTTTGGATTTCTTCTTCTTTGGAGAATGAAATTCATAATTCGAAAATTAAAATTGACTAATAGAGATTATGTTATAGAAATGAATCCATTTGAAATTATGTTTAGTCAAAGTACAATTAATAACATATTTCAAATGGGTAATGATATTGAAAATACTATCAAAGATCTTATCGATAGTAAAATAAAAGTAGAAGATTTTTCAATTATTTAAGTTTGTATTATTAATGATATATTCTATTCTTCTAATAATTGAAGACTTTATACATTTCAAGAAGCAATAAAAAGAGGTTTAAATATCACAAAAATTCCAGTAAAGATACAACAAATAACAGACTTGAATATTGAATGGAAGTTAGAAGGCTTATATAAAATTGTTCATAATAATAATTTTAAAAATATTATTGTGAGTAAATTTGCTAGAAATGAAAGAATAATAGAAGAAGATGAATATTGAGATTTTTTTTGTTATATAAATTAATTTATTCTATTATATATACTTTATATTTAATAATTAATAAATAAATTTTTCAACTTCTAATTCTTTACAAATTATTCCAATTTAATTCTAAATAAATAATTTAATAAAATAATAAATATTCTAAAGTGTCAAATTCCAAATGAAGATAAAATAATTAAATTAAAACTATAAATAAAGACGTTCAAGAATCTTTTGACCAGTTTATCTGATCTATCGATATGTTTTAATATGTCGCTTGATAATTTGTTATGGGTAGAAGATTTGTAAATTCTTCTGTATATTGATAACTTTATACTTGTTGGCTTGTTGGTGAAGAAGATAATAAACTAATTGAATAAAATTTTACTACATTCAAAGTATTGAATAAAATCAATACATATTGCCAAAAAAAACTTCTCGACATTAATTATATGATTGCTAAGATAATTTAACAATCAAGAAATAAATCATTCAGAAAAATTTTCAAATAAAAAGTTCTAATAATAAAGTGAAATTATTGAAACTGTAACAAAAATTGTAATTGCAATTATTAAAATATATATAGTAATCGCACAAATCCAAAAGAATAATTTGGAATATATAATTTTAATAGTATACTGGTAAATACATTCATGATTTTCATCATAGAAAAGGTTTGTAAGAAATAGTTCAAAAATGCAAATAAAGACAAGAGAAGTGTAAAAAGTTTGATGAATCATTTTGTTTGAATTTAAAATTTTGTTTAAAGATTTGGTTATATGTTTGAATTTTTACTTTGAAACGAATAAATTGTAAGAAACACTAAAAATATTTTGTTATAATTTTTATAGTACTCTAAAAAAAATAAAGTTCATGCACATAACATTAAATAGAAATTTTGTACAATAAATGAACAATATCAGATTGTCTTTCAGCCAAAAAAATAAAACACTCATTAAAACATTTGGCATATTTGCTTTCTTGAATATTAAACAAACTTTTGTTTTTTTAATACACAAAAAATCAAAAAACCAATTGTTTTATTTACAATATTAAAAATTATAAATAAAGATTAATTTAGTTTTATTCAATCTATATTTATACTTTTACAACCAAAAAAAAAATAAAGTTTTTCTCAATAAAAAATATTCATTTATCAACTAACACATTTATTTATTATAAATATAAACTAATAAAATATAAATTTATTTATAGATAAGTTAAAAAAAATAACATATATAAATTATTTACATTGAGAATGTTGTAACATGTAATATTCAAAATTCTGAATGTTTTTATCTTCTAAATATTTATTGTAATTATCATATTTTCTCTTTTATAAAAACCCTTCATACCCATTATTAGAGGCCTGCGTTGAGTCCCGCAGCCCAGCCCGGCCTGAAGCAAAATTTTATAATTGTGGGCCAGGCCAGGCCAAAAAATTTGCAAAACTTTATAATTGCGGGCCAGTGTGGGCCTGAAAATTTGTAAAATTATATAAGAAATTTTTGCAGGCCAGGCTGAGCTGGGCTGGGCTAAAGAAAAAATTCAATATATGTGGGCCGGGCCAGGCCGGCAAAAAAATAATAACTCTAAATGTGGGCTGGGCCGGGTCTAAAAAAAATTTTTAACTCTAATTGCAGGCTGGGCCAGGCCTCAAAAATAGGCAATTTGCAGGCCTCTACCCATTATTATTACTCTCATAATTAAAATTATTCGTATTGGCAGTATGATAATTTTCATTATATTTTCTTCCATTATCATTAAATACATTATGATAAGCTTCATTATAATTATCATAATTAAAATTATCTTCTGAATCATATTCAGATTTAAACTTTTTAAGAAAACAATCTTCACAACTACCTTTATATTCAATACAACTATATGCACTATCATCATCATCACTTATTGAAATAATAGTTTGTCTATCAAAGTTTAAGTTTCTCTCAACATTTTCTTCGATTTTTTTCACAATTTCAACTAATTCTTCACCTTCTTCTGGATTATGATTAATTACTTCTCTTTCAAAATGTTCATAATCTTCATTATTTTCAACAAAAACTTCCCAAGATATGCCAAAATATTCGTAAGCTCTATTATATAGATTTACTAAATAATGATTATGTGTTTCATAAGTAGAAATTACTGCTTCATAATGTTGGATAAGAGCTAAAGAATCATTAAAAACACTATGAGTTTCATTAATATTATCGATAAATTGTTGACGATGTTGATTAAAATTAAATTCAGTCATTTTTTAATTTGTTTTTTTTTAAGTTTAGAAATAATATGATCGTTTTGCTAGTAATATTATGTATAAGAAAAAATATGACTCTTTTTAAAGTTATTTTTTGTATAAGGATAAACATATAAGATTCGATTGGTTTTATGATAAGAATTAAAA